GGTCTTCTTGGTAGGATCTAGTTTTCGAGCTCGAGCAGGAAGATTGAGTTGAACGAGGAATATCGAGGTTCTGGGGCTAAGTGGGGGCGAGTGACTTACACGTGCATTCTTACTCTACTCGATGCATTTTCGGTTTGCACACCTTTTCTCTTTTATCTTTTTGAGTTGCTTCCTCCTCGTGTCCTTTCTTTTGAGTTTTGTGTTAGCTGCTAGTATTGGTTCATTATGTGAAATTTCTAGGTCTTGTTTCCCGGTTATGTGTTGAAGCAATGAGGACATTGCCTCATTTTAAGTGTAGAGGAAGTTGACTTTTTGCATGCTTATGTGGTGGACCGGTCTAGTGTAGGTTTTGTATGTTTTTTAGTATGGACTTTGGAAATTTCAAGATTAGTTAAGACTTGTTTGATGAATTCGATGAGTGTGATGTTGGTCATATGCGGCATAACGTGATGAAATGCTTGGTTGATTACTTTGATTAGCATTCATATATCTACCTAGTGAGGTTTGAGTCTTATTTGTTTCTTGAGATACATTGGTCGTGCTCTTGTTTGATTAGAACTTGCCCTGAGTCTGTATTGAAATAAATCGATTAGAATTGTGAATTGTGTATATGATTAAGGCGTTTATTGTACTCTATCCTTTTTCTTTCTCTACAAATTATTTCCTAGTTTCCCCTTTTGAGCCTTATTTGATTTTTGTTGATAACCTCGTGATGATGACGTTTTTTGAGTTGCGGGTTAAGAATTTGAGGGGATGATTGTTGGAGTTGTTTGTTGAAGTTGTGTTTATGTTCTTTATTAAAATATATATATATATATAAAAAAAAGAAACAAAAAAATGTCGCTGAATGGATTAAAAAATGTCCAATAAGGTTTACACACAAAAAAAAGGAAAAAAAATAGAAAAAAAAAGTAAGAAATAATATGGGTGAAACGTGTGGTTTTAGGTGAAGTGTGGGGGAGGATCCGGTATGTTTGAGCGAACCGGTTAAGTGTATGATTCTGGCGTAAGGTGTTTGAATTATGTAATGAATTCGAGCCACTTAGCCTATAT